TCATAACTGGTCACCGCAAAACAATCGTAATTTATTGGAAAATGTACTGTAACCTTTTCTCTTTAAGAATTGAGATGATTATAAAAGTTTTTATCAGCACATTGGATTTTTTTTATAATTATTTGAAATTTCAGATTTGCTGCTTAATGAAATTTCAAAGATCTCGTACCTGATAAGAATGTCCCAACAAAATCCTAACATTGAAAAAAAAGGGCCAGTTCCAGACCCCCTCCAAAAAATTAGTCTATCAATGCAATGATATCTACACTATAGCCAAGTACATTGTTTTTTTATTACATAACCTGAGGACATCAAAAGAAAAGTTAAAAGTACCAGACTTCCTCCCAAAAAAGTCCCTATCAGCGTAGTGATATATATTGTGGCCAACCTCCTTCCATCCTACTTTCAAGAGCAACACAATTCTTTTATTTTTATCATTTAACTCGTGGCCAGTTTCTGAATGAGGAATAAACATCAGGACCATTTTTGCTCACACAGGACACAGGTGAGTGAAGAGAAGGTGCAGAACTCATAAGAAAAGAAAAAAGTTCTAGACTTCTCATTGCTCACTGGCCAAGAACAATCTTTGGAAAATAAAGGTTAACCCCTTCAAAATCACAACATATCACCTTTACACTTCGCCGTGAAATTTGTCCTACCATATACGTATACAATGAACCTGTTTCTCAATCCGATAAAGTTAACTATTTAGGACTTACGTATGATTGAAGACTAACTTGGAATACAAAAGATTAAAAAATATACATTCAAAAAACGATCTATAATGATTTATTACCTAATCAACTGGTTGCTCGATGTGTCCCACATAATATAGGCGTGTCATGCTTTTGCGCTATACAGAGATCGTGTAGGCATGCCGCCGGACTTAAGAATAGTTCTCGAGCACTGCAGCGAGTTTCAGGGTCCCCTGTTCCGCTTTTTAGAGGAAATTGGGTTTTTTTAATTGTATATAGTATGTCTTACGGGTTTTGTGTCTATATGTTTTGTCTGAGTGCATGTATTTATTAGCGTGAATGGTGAGGGGTGAGGGTGAAATATAACGTCATCATCACCCCTAGAACGATGAGAGCGTAAGTGTGTGTTCGGAGTCGATGGCAGAATATTTATAAAAGTACTCCATCGACCCCAATCTAGATTAGTTTGAGTATAGGATCGGTGGAGGAATATCAAGTACTCCACCGACCAAACGGAATGAGTGTACTATATGGATGTATTTAAGAAGAAGAAAAATAACTTTATTCTGGGACTGGTGTCCCCTAAGAATAATTTACATGAAATAAATAAAGGAAGTTCCTTCTATGAAGTTAAAAGTAAAAAAAGATAGAAATCTTGTCACAATGTATACCAATAAGGCAGGACAGAAGAAAAAATTACGAGAATATTTAACAAAAATAACAAATGTTAACGTGAGGTCTCTGCTTGGAGGAGAGGTGATTATACAGGTGGGATTTAAAGGAGGAAAATGAGGCAGCGTGATGAATAGAAAGGGGAAGGGAGTTCCAGAGTTTAGGGGCTCGGATCAGAAAGGATCTTTCGAAGGTATGGGTTGTATGTTACAGAAGGATAAGATCGATTGGGGATGAGCGGGTCTTACGAGTGAGATGTGAGGAGTTGAATTGGAGCGATTGGATGATGTAAGGAGGACGACGAGTGTGGATGGACTGCAAAAGAAAGCAACCTAGGAAATACTGTGCACGGAAGGAGGAGAATAGCCAGGAAAGTTGGGAACACAACCCCGACACCCGGGATCCCCGTGGGGTGCCGTACACAAATCTTACGCAACAATTCATAATACGCTTCAACCGCGCGTTCCCCCCTCCGAGAGACCACCGTATGCCACACAGCTATAATCGAAGAAGGGAAGTTTAAGGGAAGATACAAGGAGTTTGCGGGTGGAGAAAGGTAAGAGAAGCCAGGACCGACGAAACAGGGTGAGGAAAGGTTTGGGTCAAAGACTACTCCTAGGTTTTTAACCGAGGAGCAGAAGGGGATGGAATGGTTATTTAGTATGAGAGGTGGGATACTGGGGAGGGAATTGAGGAGATGCTTGGACCCGATAATTATGGCAGGGATTTGGACGGATTGATGACTAGGGAATTTTTATGGGCCCATTCGTTGATGGAGTTTAGGTCTTTTTGGATCATGAGAGTGGCCGAGTGAAGATCGGAAGGGTGGTATTAGCAAAGTATTTATGTGTATGAATGTATTTATTTGGATGAATGTAGTGTTTGAAAGGGTAAATAGAATATAGACATAGTTGGGGGCTAAAATGACCTAGATGTCGGAAGCCCCAGTCAAAAAAAAAAATAAATAAAAATAAATTAAAAAAAAATAAATAACACACTTCACAGAGATCTTCACACGCTAACAGTTTTTTCATAAATCTATTTTTATTATCTATATCTAAATCTAAAAATATTACAGACGTTTTTATAGAAAATTAGGAAGTCAGACTAACCCACAAACACGATTACTCCATTACCCACAATTACCTCGTAAGAGGCTGAAAAGATTACGGATAAGAGAACTCTTAAATGATTAATATCACTTTATTAATCCAGAGCGGCTGCCAACGGGTAGCTTTCTCTATAAACCCGTAATACCACTGCCACTCTCAACAAGACACAAGAATGACACAACTACACGGAAAACAAACTCTTTGAGCTCTGAAGATGATCTCAATAAAGATCGAACGTTGGCATGATAAAGAAAATGTTTTTCTAAAACCTACGTCACTCCAGACCGCAACTCACAATCTCCAAAAAATCATTGACTAACAGTCACTAAATCCTTCCTGTATCCTCGCTGTCTTGTCCCGTCCAAAAAAATTCACCATTGGAATCGGCTTTATGCCAAAACGAGCCTGACATGCCAAACCAATAATGACTTAAGACAAGGATAGGAAACGGCAAAACTAAAGGCTCTTGCAGCATAATACAGATATAAAACATATTGAAAATAAATTAAAGCAAATGATTGATAAAAATCAAGCAGAAGTTGCATTTCAAAAGCATTGTTAACAATAAAACATTACGTTATGTAAACAATATGAAATAACATGTAAAAAGCTAATTTAGATAGGACAAGACAATACATCTTTTCAATTTAGTTATCAGAAATGGTGGTGACCGTTACTTGATAGTTACTTGGAGGTCGTGAGATGCGGTCTGGTGTGACGTTGGTTTTAGAAACACATTTTTTTTTATCGTACCAACGTTTCGATCTTTATTGAAATCATCTTCAGGGCCTGGGATTTATAAATATTGTTTAAATTATACAAATCCATGTAGGATGTGAATAAAAATTACATTTTCTTTATCGTGCCAACGTTTCGATCTTTATTGAGAACATCTTCAGGGCTCAAAGTGCGGCACTCTCAACACGACAGACAAGATTGACACATCTACACGGAAAACAAACACTTTGAGCCCTGAAGATGTTCTCAATAAAGATCGAAACGTTGGCACGATAAAGAAAATGTTTTTCTAAAACCTACGTCCCACCAGACCGCATCTCACGATCTCCAAATAATCATGAGAAAAGCAACGTAATAATTTAATAAATTGTTCATAAAATTTATTGGTTTACATTAAAATAGGAATGCTGTAATTAATAGAACGACAAAATTACATATTCTTACTTTGAAATAAACTACATAAAATGTGAGTGCCCTGTTCTGTGTGTAATCTTATGAGCAAAACCATGAAATAAATTGTAAGTTAAATTTCATGAGCACAATTATGTAATAAATTGTTTTTTTAAACTTAATTGTTTTAAATACAGTTATTCCGGTGTTTTGGTAAATTTTGGTCCTGTTTTGGTCCTAACCATCATAATCAAATAATTGTTATAAACAGTTGCGAATTTTTGATCTTGTTTAACTTAGTTTACAATAAAATGTTTTAATTAATATAACGACAAAATTACATATACTTAGTTTGGAATAAGTACAAAAAATATGAGTGTAAATTGTAAAATGGTGTAATTTTATGAGCAAAACCATGAACTAAATTGTTAGTTAAATTGTATAAGTAATAAATTATTAGTTAATTTCATTATATCAAAAAATGGTATTCCGGTGTTTTAATCAATTTTATACAAACCATTAAAATTAATTTGTGTCCTGTTGTGAGCTACTCGACAAAAATAGTGTAATTTCATGAGCAAAACCATGTAATAAATTGTTAGTTAAATTCATTATATCAAAAAATGGTATTCCGGTGTTCTGATCAATTTTCTACCTAACCAATAAAATTTATTTAAAAAAAAAAATTAATGCCTTATTGATCTCGGTTAATTTGGTTTATATTAAAATAAGTATGTTGTAATTAATATAACGACAATAATACATATAGTTTGAATAAAAGTATGAGTGTCCGGTTCTTTTGTCTTCGACTGTACTTGATGCTACCCGACGAAAATCATAGAATCATAGCGTCGGGCTGATATGTACGGGGATAATACAATCTTATGGAAAATTGGACTTTGGATTTACGTCGGGTAGCATCGGGTAGCGTCGCATAGCGTTGCATCGGGTAAGTGTGTTCCCAGCTTTATTGTCTCGTCGGGGCTTACGCTGTATATAGTCACACACGCTTCGACGAATCCCGATGGCATTCGTCTCAGCCTTCGTTCTGCCAAAAAGCGGTCCTTTCTGCCCTTTTCACGATCCAAGGCTAATTTAGAGTAGACCTACCTAAAAGTCACGTTAACCCTACACGACAAACCTTCAAGATTATTGAAGCGAAAGGTTGCCCTGAGATCTTTTCATTAAGCGAAGTTTGAGAGATTTTAGTGTGAAGGAGTGTTGCTACTGGACAAGTTCTCCTATATTTAGTATATGAACATATTTTCTTAATACAATATTTGTAGTTGCAAATATTAAATAAATGTAAGAAAAAAATAAAAATTTTGTAGTCAAACTGTCGAAGTAAAAGAATATATATTTTTTCTTTTAAAATGAAAACCATATGATTTTTTCCGTTTACGAGTATGAATGACGTCGAGAAAAAGTTCTTTGCTTTTGTGTGTTGTAGCTTCGTAATTTATTTGTTCATTCACGGCGCGGAAACGAAATGGTCCATAGGAGACCCGTGCTGCACGAAGTGCGGGGACAACCATACCATGTGCAGGTTCAAGGTGAGGTGTCAAGGTCTGACCATTTTCCACCAGTCGCCTCGTTTCCTTTTTCCCGCAGGAGCTGAAGTACGGCGAAAGGTGCATAAGGCCCACTCTGATCCAAATCGATAACTCTCTGATGAAAAAGATCGTTCACACGCTGAACTTCAAGAGAAACGATCTAGGCCGCAAGTTGAAAGCAACCGCACTCCACTACGTTGTCGGTATCAGCCGGATCTGACTGATAGTCAATAGACTGCTCTAAATCTGATTATTTTTCCAGAAATGGAATCATGAGTTGCAGAACTTAGCAAATCGATGGGCAGCGCAATGCATACCAGAACGAGATTTGTGTAGAGACCGAGGTAATTTTTTTAAACAAAATTAAATAACAAACCCTGATTTCTTAACAGAACTTGGATCTTTTCCACTCTATTCCTTTCAAAAATAAAAAAGATTAGCCATACGATAGGCGATTGAATGAATATCTGCCGCACAAAAAAGCTCCCGATTAGCTATTTGATTCGTCATGTTGTCCATGAAATGTGCACTTTGCTTAAATGGTATTTACAGACCTGCATACATGAATACATAAGAACACAAAATACGTTTTATGTTTTTTATACTCAACTCCGAATGAGTATTGGGTTGTCCGGAAAATAATGCAGGATTTTGGTATTAAACAAAAAAAAAGAAACTAGTTACTTTAAAGCAATGTTCTTTAATCAAAATAATTTCCCATACTCTCAATACATTTCTCCCAACGTGTTGGTAACTTATTAATTCCGTCTGAGTAGAATTCAGAATTTTTAGAATTGATAAAGTCAATAAATGCATTTTCCAGTTCCGTTTGATTTTTGAATATTATGTGTTCTAAGTAGTGGTCCAGGTGTCTAAAAAAATGGTAGTCAGTAGGCGAGAGGTCCGGAGAGTAGGGTGGGTGAGGCAAAGTTTCATAGCCAAGCTCCAATAATTTTTGTGACGTTACACGTGACACATGTGGTCGAGCGTTGTCATGCAACAAAATGGGCCCTTTCCGATTGACCAAAGAGGGCTTCATTACTGCCAATTTCTGATGCATGGTATTAATTTGGTTACAGTATGATTCAGCATTGATGGTTTCGCCAGGATTTAAGAAGCTGTAGTGTATTAAACCAAATGAAGCCCACCATACCGTAACCATTACCTTTTTTTGATGAGTTGGGGGCTTTGGAAAATGTATTGGAGCTTCTAAACATCAAAGCGCTGATTTTTTTGGCGATCGTTTAATGAGTGTGGAACCCAATTTTCGAGTTTTTTCACTTTTCCAATCGCCTTGAGGTGGTCAGCGACGGTCGTTTTACTGACTTTGAGTTGCTCTGCAAGTTCTCGAACAGTTGTTTTGGGGTTTTCTTCCACCACTGATCGCAGAACATCATCATTAAGAGAGGAAGGCCTTCCACGACCTTCTTCATCTTCAAGGCTGAAATCTCCCTCCCGAAATTTTTTAAACCACCTTTGCACAGTGCACTCATTAACACAACCCTCGCCCCAGACTTGGTTAATGTTTCTAGCCGTTTGGGCTCCGCTTCGGCCGAGTTTAAACTCGTAAAAGAAAATCGTACGAAATTCTCGCTTTGACATTATAAGGATGACTGAATTATTTCCAAGTAGCGGAATGCTACAGAGGTAAACAAACAATATCATTTGGAAGAGGATTAATAAGTGTTGACATTCATACAAATGAGTAATCCTGTAAACGTAAACAGAATATTTTATATAGATTTTTTTAAATGAAAACTTAAAATCCTGCATTATTTTCCGGACAACCCAATAGTTTGTGTCACACTCATTGTACTGAAATCAACAAGTTATCTGCATTGTCGTGTTGTCTCTTAAGCACAAATATGTCACGGAATTTATGACTTATGGAAATTTCTTGATTCTTTTCTTCGACACCTCGATTGGATGTAATTTAATACGTTATCCTTGAATCTTCTCAGATAGCCAAATTTTATTCTATCTGTATTCTCTGGAGAATAATCTTCTTACAACCAAATAAATTTAGTAGATGTTTTATGAAAGAGGAGACATGAACAATGCAACATTTTACACTTGTAAATTTTAATCATTTGTGATTCTTCTTGGGGACGTTGGTGGCCGCAACGGTTTAAGCCGGGACACGCCTGATGCAACACTATGCGGCGCTACCCGATCCTACCCGACGCAAAACCAAAGTCCAATTTTCCATAAGATTGTATTACCCCCTTGCTGCCCAGTTGCCACGCGACGCTACCCTACTCTACGCTTTGCGATCCCCACTGTCCAGATTTTCATCGCGTAGCATCGAGTACAGTCGAAGACAAAAGAACCGGACACTCATATTTTTATTCAAACTACATATATTATTGTCGATATATTAATTACAACAAACTTATTTTATTATAAATCAAAATAAGCGGGATCCAAAATTCGTAAGTTTTTATTTTCCAATTTTTTTTAAATGGTTTGGTAGAAAGTTGATCAAAACACCGGAATACCATTTGATATAATGAAATTAACTAACAATTTATTATACGGTTTTGCTCATAAAATTTGACAAACAATTTATTTCCTGGTTTGATCGTACAATTACACCATTTTCGTCGAGTAGCGTTAGAACAGGACACTCATATTTTTTGTAGTTTATTTCAAACTATGTATATTAATTGCAAGTATGTATATGTAAGTTATATTAATTACAACATACTTATTTTAATATAAACCAAATTAACCGAGATCCAAAATTCGTTAGTTTTTATTTTCAAAAATTTTTTTAATGGTTTGGTAGAAAATTGATCAAAACACCGGAATACCATTTTTTGATATAATGAATTTAACTAACAATTTATTTCATGGTTTTGATCATAAAATTACACTATTTTCGTCAACTAGCGTCAGAGCAGGACACTCATATTTTTGTAGTTTATTTCAAGCTAAGTATATATAATTTTGTCGTTATATTAATTACAACATTCTTATTTTAATATAAACCAAATTAAACGAGATCAAAATTGATGAGATTTTATAAAAATTATTTATATATGATGGATAGTAAGAAAATTTATCAAAACACCGGAATAACATTAGTTTAAACAATTAAATTAAACTAACAATTTATTACATGGTTTTGCTCAAAATAATGCATTAAGAACAAAAGAGGCGTTGCGATTGTGATACTGATTTGTGATACACGCTGTGTGACAGTACGTGGCGTGCGCTTGACGTCTCATAGATGTGCACACCCTACTAAAACGTAACGTTTTGGTCGGGTCGTGTAGGGTCGCATAGCGTTGCATCGGTTAAGTGTGTTTCCCGATTTAGGCGTTGACACGGCGCCATCACTGTACGGTCCCGGGTTCGAATCCAGCAGCCCTGGATTCGGACCCGACATACTTACAAGTGGGCTTTTATCAGAAACACCGGCACCTCGAGGGTTGATATAACCTTTGCTGTTGCGAACCCTCGTAAAAAAAAATTATCTTCTTATCTTCAAAGAGCCATCTAAATTTAAAGAAACGGATCTAAATATTAAAAAATAACTTTGAAAACTTAGGCACAACGCTGTTGACACAACTGATTAAATAATTTCGTATATGTATTTGAAGTTGCTTTGCTTTGTAAGTGCGCAGTTAAGTTCGGTTAAGTTGAGAAATTAGAAACAGAACCTATCACGTATCCTTCATGACTTAATAATAATACAATCCTCTAATATTATTAATTTTAAGAAGTCATACCAATTGAAATTAATGCTAGTAAATTAAGGTCCCTCGGAGAATTCGATTATAGCGTTATTGACACAATTATTCAATTAGTTCGTCTGTTGTAGTCTACAATCATGTTATCTCATTAATAATTAATACTAATTAATTATTCATCGTGTTATCTACTTGAAGTATAAATATTTAGCTTGTTCAGTAAATCGAATTAGCTAAGGCCAACGTAAAATGAGACGATTGTTTTGAAGTAGTGTCATATTGGATGTAATATCTTACGTTTAATCTTTTTGGGTCAGTGGATTCTCTAGTCGGCCAACTGGTTCAAAGGAAACTCAGCGTTTCCCTGGATCCAAGCAACGAAATCTTATCAACGATAAAGTCTTGGTTTTATCTGTCGAACAGACAGTTGATTCGAGGATCTGGACGTCGCTACTTCTGGTAAGATCCACATCGTAAGTGTTTGACGTCAGAAATGCAAATCCGATATTTCCAGGGTAACCGATAGCGAATATTTCAACCAGGTCATGCTGCACGAAACAAAGGAAGTCGGCTGCAGCGCGCTGTTTAATATCCACTCTCAAAGCGGACAACGCAACCTCCACATCGTCTGTAACTTCGTACCAGCTATCTTAAAAGTGGACACGTACCTCTTCAGGACTGGTATGCCGACCTGCTCCGAGTGCCCACCGGGTACGAAATGCAGTTCCAATGTTTTTCCTGTCCTGTGCTTAGGTATTAGAATATGTTCACATATCTTCATATTCATTTTTATCTGTCGAATTGAAATTTAACGGATTTTTTTATTAAGGCTCAGAAAGAACTAGCTACAATCTAAGGATTTTAACAGCTTTTTTGATCTGGGCTTGCTTTTAAAAAGACTCATTCTTGACTTCCTGTTTCCTTTTACAAATGTTAAAAACATTTTCTTAAAAAATTAAATAACTATTTTTAAAAAATGTGTAACTTGGGTTTATTAACAAAATAATTGTAAAAAAAAAATATAGCATAGACACGATCAAACAAATGGTCATTACTTGCCAAGATGTGCTCTATTTGACCAACACAATATGTTCTACTTTATTGACTAAAATAAGAAAGCTTATTGAAAGTTATTTCTAATAAATACAATAAAACCTTCAGAAAGGAGATTTTTGTTGGCCTTTTTATTAATTACCAATAAGCCAATAAATTATTATCTAACAGTGCTCGATAATATTGGTTTAAAATCTTGAATTAAGCACGAATAACAATAATACATGTAAGCTTTACGCACATAATTATTAGTACTTAATTAATACTAATAATTTAAAATTTACTTTTCATACTTGTGATGATAATAATGTGTTCTTGCTTGCCTACCCCTTACGCTTACAGTGTTAGATATCTTGGTTTTACATTGATCTCTAATTTGAGAGTTAATTTGAATATTGATTGACACCTCCACTGGATATATTTATTCAAGGAGAGGCTAGAAAAAGCTCATTTAGGCCCCATGCCAATGAAATTGGATAGGAACTAAATAATTCGGGCTTATAACCATAATTAACAAAATCAGACATCCATTCTTCGAAATGGGGACTGGCTATATGATCCCGAAAACATTCTTTACAACATCCTATAAAGTTTCAACGGACTATAAAGAAGAGGAAGAACACAGGAGCATCAGATAGAGTATATGGTATACAGATAGCTCCAGAACAAACGAAGGAACCGGATCGGGCGTTTTTTGTTCAAGCCCAAAAAATGAGCAATCAAACTCAGGAAAGTTTATTCGGTCTTTCTAGCAAAAATACAATGCTTGTGTCCTGGAACATCTTAAAAGAGTTTACACTGGCCAAAAAGTCCTTGTAAGATCTGATAGCCAAGCAGCCATTAAAGCATTATCATGTAAGAGAATCACATCAAAATTAGTAGCTGAATGCATGCAAAATCTCCAAAACCAGGGAAAACCCAACAACCTGATGATTTCTTGGGTGCCAGGGCACAGGGGAATTTTGGGTAACGAGAAAGCAGACAGACTGGCCAGAGGAGGATCTGCAAGACCATACAAAAGCCCCGAACCTATACTTGGGATAACAAATATAGAATCCTCCAACGCAGAATGGATCCAAACAAAACAAAAGGAGTAGATGATAAACTCTAGCGGCGCTAGACATAGTAAACTTTTGATGAAACAACCATCACTAAGACTGGCAAAATCACTGCTGCAACTGCAACTCAGAAAAGTGGTAGGACTACTAACCGGTCACTGGCATCTGAGAAAACATCTACACAACATGCGCATATACAACGATGATCCCACGTGCAGATTATGTAATGAGGAGGAGGAAACAGCCACCCATATCATCTTCGAATGCGAAACACCAGCTCAATGGAGATTTAGCCAAACATACGAAAAAAACTTAGGGAATGAAATTGTAGCAGCGACAGTCAATGACGTGATACTTCTAAGAAAAAGGATTGAATCTATTGCACCGAACTAAGGAACTAGGAAGGTACAATAAGCCTGAAGGCTGCAGTGCCTGGGGAGACCCTGCTTCCTTGTAACCTTATTACCATACCATACCGATTATATAAGTTGTCTAATGATGCTGAAGAGTAAGACAATCTTCTGTATTAGAGACGAAGAAAATAATTTTAGATCATTTGCAAATAGCAATGATAGTACAGAATGAAGAATAGAAGGAAGGTCATTGGTAAAGGAGTCATTGACTCAAGTGTGATCCCTGAGGTACGCTAGCATTAACTTCAAATTCAGAGAGTTATATAGACTTGATTCGAACGCTTTGAAGACGATTTGTGAGAAAGCTGTGAAACTATAGGAGTTATACCGGAGTCCACTGTAATCTAGACGTGTAAGATTAGTATGCCGGCAGCATTAAAAAGGTCATAACTTTAATAGCAAGATTAAAAGGGTTCCGGTGATAAGACGGCTTCAGATTTCGCATCCTGACATGGGGAAATAAAAACCGAAGTGTAAATGGATCGTTTCGGATGGTTTATTGCCGGTCTTAAAAAGCCAGTAAGCCAACACCGGTAAATCGACGAAACCCATAATTCCAGTCGGGTTTGACCGAATTGACATAAGGCGGTTCATTGTGGAAAATTTACCCGCTATTTTCCGCCACATTAAAACTTTTAATCGCCCCGCGCTCTGGCTATCCGCCGTTGGATCGACGTTGTTTAGCATTTAAGGAACACAGACAACGTACGGCCCGGACATATTTACTCCACACACAAAGCCGAAGAAAGAAATTCGTTGTCGAGTTGAATAATCTCAATAATTTTGTGATTTACTTTCTTAAAAATTTTTATTTATGGTAATTTACCCCAGGACCCCGATACCAGAACGGGAAGAATGGGCCAAGGGAACACCACTAAAGCAAATTCCTACTGGTACACTGACGGCACCAAAACCGACAAGGGTACGTGAGCTGGGGTCTTTGGGATGAACCCCAAGACCGAACTGACGGTAAACGTAGCCAAGTATGCTACACTTTTCCAGTCTGAAATCATAGCGATTGAACAATGTGCCAGAGAAATAAAAAGGCTAGGAATAAATTCCCGGAAGATAGCCATTTTCTCTGACAGCAAGGCAGCTCATGCGAGGCGAAGGCAAAAAGAATTTGGAAATGCATGGAGGCCTACCCCTTGCATGGGTCCCTGGACATTCGGGGCATAGAGGCAACGAAAAAGTTGACACGTTGGCCGAAAAGGGAGCCAACATGGACTGTATGGGCCCAGAACCCTACTGCGGCCTAGCAAACTGCCACACAAGAGGATACATCTTAAAATGGATCCTTAATTAGTCCAAAACCTGATGGAAAAACACCACAGGTATGACGCACCCGAAGAGATTCATAGAAGAACCATCCGCAAAACTTACAAAAGAACTGTTGAAAGGCTACCGAACCAGGATTCTAGTTGGACTCCTGACGGGGCACTACCACTTAAGAAAGCACATGCACCAGATAGGAGTACAGACAGAAGAAACACTGTGCAGATACTGCCAGGAATAGGAGGAAACTGCAGAACACATTTTATGTTTCTGCGAAGGTATTGCGGTGTGTATGTGCAAGTTCTCCAACTAGGACAAGAAAAACCAAAAGTAAGTAAGTAAGTAAAGTAACTATACCAAGAAACCGCTGGCAAAGCTGTAGAGGCTGGTTAATAGGTTGAAGCTAGGCAGTGAGTTATAATTAATAAAGGAGCACAAAAGATCTACTTAGGTCGAGGTGCAGTAGGCCTTGTGGCCGCCTCTCTTATCCCTATCCCCATCCCCTAGGACCCCAGGTCAATACCTTTATTCACCACGCATTAATTGGCAACATATTTGTCATATGATTATTTGGAGATCGTGAGGTGCGGCCCGGTGTCAAGTGGGTTTTAGAAAAACATTTTCTTTCTCATCCAACGTTCCGATCTTTATTTAGATCATCTTCAGGGCTCAAAGTGTTTGTTTTCCATGTAAATGTGTCATTGTTCTTTGTCATATATTACACCACTGGAGGAAAAAAAACAACCTACGTACATGCCAAAATCACAAGCAATTGCAATTTTCTAAATAAAGAAAACATTCCAGTTATATAGGCAATCTACCCTTTAAAATCCATTCAATTTTTTCCTAAAAAATTAGATATAAAATACCTATATATATANGTGTGTGTAAAATAAAAACAATTGAATAAATGATTTAATTTAATTTTTTTTATTAATTAAAATACCCTCCTTTACTCTCCCAACGTTATGGTATTTTCTATGTACCCTCTGAATCGAATTTTGAACTTTTATTATTAACTAATTCTGTAAACGCATTTTCTGACGACTTTTGATCAATAAATTTTTTATGTTGTAAAATGTTGTCCAGATGTGTGAAACAATGGTGGTCCGTAGGCGAGAGGGCTGGAGAATGGTGAGGGTGAGGCAGAACCCAATAATCAAGGTCCAACTTTTTTCGTGTTGTCGCATGTGAGACGTGGGACCCAACCTAGTCGTTTAACCGACAGCAATTTCCGGTTGACTAAAGATGGCGTCAATAATGCCAATTTCTGGTGTATTCCTTCAATTTGAGAGCAATGCATTTCGGCACTGATCGTTTCGCCAGGTTTCAAGAAGCTGTACTAAATCAACTCACATGAAATTCACCAAAGAGTCACTATCACCTTTTTTTGATGAGTTGGGAGCTTTGGAAAATGTGGTGTTGCTTCTCCTTTGTCGAGTCACTGTACAGAACGTCTGATTTTATTGTTGAGAATCATTTTTCATCAAAAGTAATAATTCTATCCAGAAAAGGTTTGTTTCTGTCATGGCAAAGAAGTGTTTCGCAAACGTCATAAAGATAATTTTTTGACGGTCGTTAAATGCATGAGGAACATAACTTTCGAGCTTTTTAACCTTTCCAATCGTTTTAAGGTTATCCGCAATCTATATGCAAACTGAAAGGTTCTCTGCAAATTCTCGAACAGTTGTTCTGGAATTTTCTTGGATCAAAGCTCGCAGAACAATATCACCTAGGGAAGAAATACTTCCACAACCTTGTTTGTTTTCAAGGCTTCCCACTCGAAATTTTTTAAACCATCTCTGAACCACTTCTGATGCTCTCACACATACTGCCATCGCCCCAGGCTTCATTAATGTTTCTGACCGTTTGGACACCGTCACGACCGAGTTTAAACTCGTAAAACGAAATTACGCGAATATCACGCATTTATTACATCTTTGTAAATACTGAAGTATTTCCTAGTAACGAAATGTTACTGAAGTAAACAAACATTTTTGTTTAGGAGAGGATTAAAAAGTGTTGACACTCGTAAAAAAGAATAATCCATGAAACGTAAACAGTTTATTATATAAAGGGGTAATTGAAAAAAAAAACACATGAAGATTTTAGAAAAACATTTTCTTTATCGTGCCGACGTTCCGATCTTTA